GGTGTGTGTGTGTGTGTGTGTGTGTGTGTTGTGTGTGTGTGTGTGTGTGTGTTGTGTGTGTGTGTGTGTGAGTGTGTGTGTATGTGTGAGTCACACACCTGCATATAAACACAGGTGTGAGCGGGGCACTATGTTAGGACCGCCATGTTACCTGTCCAGTTAGTCTCGGCCAAAACAAATTAGAGAGGCAGTGCTAAAAGCATCTAGGAAACAGTGAGTCTCTCCATCCAGGGGAAATGAGTCGTTCCTGGGGAAATGAATCGTTCCTGGGGAAATGAATCGTTCCTGGGGAAATGACTCGTTCTTGGAGAAATGAGTCGTTTGAAATGAGACATCTGCGTGTCAAATAAGAGATCCGAAATGACTTGTGTGTGGAATGAGTTATTTATGTGTGGAATGAATTGTATGTGTGTGGAATGAGTTGCTTATGGAAAGAGCATTCTGCAGCTGCTACAATTCCACATGTTTCTGAATGCTGGAATATGCAAGTTCTGGCAACCCTTGAATTACAGAAGCCTACAAGGTGGGAACCCTGGAGTAACCAGGGTTACCTGGAGGTTACCTGGAGGTTATTCCGGGGATCAACGCCCCCGCGGCCCGGTCCACGACCAGGCCTCCCGATGGATCAGGGCCTGATCAACTAGGCTGTTACTGCTGTCCGCACGCAGTCCGACGTACGAGCCACAGCCCGGCTGATCCGGCACTGACTTTAGTATCTGTCCAGCTCTCTCTTGAAGGCAGCCAGGGGTTTATTGGCAATTCCCTAATGCTTGATGGGAGGCTGTTGAACAGTTTTGGGCCCCGGACACTTATGGTGTTTTCTCTTAGTGTACCAATGGCGCCCCTACTTTTTATTGGCGGCATTTTGCATCGCCTGCCCAGTCTTTTACTTCGTAGGGAGTGATTTCTGTGTGCAGATTTGGGACCATTCCTTCCAAGATTTTCCCAAGTGTAGATTATGATATATCTCTCCCTCCTGCGTTCCAACGAGTACAAGTCAAGTGCTTTCAAGCGTTCCCTGTAGTTAAGGTGCTTGACAGAACTTATACGTGCAGTAAAGGATCTCTGTACACTCTCTAGATCTGCGATTTCACCTGCTTTGTATGGAGATGTTAATGTACAGCAGTATTCCAGCCTAAAAGAGAACAAGTGTTTGAAAAGGATCATCATGGGCTTGGCATCTCTCGTTTTGAAAGTTCTCATTATCCATCCTATCATTTTCTTTGCACGTGCGATCGTGGCACTGTTGTGATCCTTGAAAGTGAGATCCTCAGACATTACTACTCCCAGTCCCTTACATTATTTTTTCCGCTCTATTGTATTACCGGAGTCAGTAGTATACTCTGTTCTAGTTATTATCTCCTCCAGTTTTCCATAACGGAAAGTAGTTGGAATTTGTCCTCATTGAACATCATATGTTTACCGTTGCCCACTGGAAAACTTTGTTTATATCTTCTTGGAGGTTAACCGCGTCCTCAGCAGATGACAGCCTCATGCAGATCCTAGTATCATCCGCAAAGGATGATACGGTGCTGTGGTGTATATCTCTGTTTATGTCTGATATGAGGATAAGGAATAAGATGGGGGCGAGTACGTGCCTTGTGGAACAGAGCTCTTCACTATGGCAGCCTCCGATTTAACTCTGTTGACCACTACTCTTTGTGTTCGATTTGTTAGAAGTTGAAGATCCATCTCCCCACTTTCCCAGTTATTCCTTTAGCACGTATTTTATGGGCTATTACCCCATGATCGCATTTGTCAAATGCTTTTTGCAAAGTCTGTGTATATTACATCGCATTCTGATTTTCTTCCAGTGCATCCAAGGCCATGTCATAGTGATCCAGTAGTTGGGGAGAGGCAGGAGCGACCTGCCCTGAACCCATGTTGCCTGGATTGTGCAGATTTTGGGAATCCAGGTGATTTGCAATCCTGCTTCTTAGCCCTCTTTCAAAGATTTTTATGATGTGGGACGTCAGAGCTATTGGTCTATAGTTCTTAGCTAATGCTTTGCTGCCACCTTTATGGAGCAGGGCTATATCCGTTGTTTTAAGTGACTGTGGAATCTCACCCATGTCCAAGCTCCTCCTCCATAGTGTACTTAGGCACGCGAGAGGGGGTTTCTTGCAGTTCTTAATGAAAACAGAGTTCCACGAGTCTGGGCCCGGGGCTGAGTGCATAGGCATGTTGTCAATGGCTTTTCGAAATCTATCGGAGTTAGGGTAATGTCGGAAATCTGGCATACATTATGGAGTTTTGAGGCTCATTCATGAAGAAATCATTGGGTCGTCGATCCTCAGACCGATTAGTGGTTCACTAAACACAGAGTGTTCGTGGGATTTCAATATTTCACTCATTTCCTTGTTGTCGTCTGTGTAAGTCCCATCCTGTCTGAGTAAGGGCCCGATACTAGATGTGGTATTTGCCTTGTTTTTGGCATATGAAAAGAAATATTTTGAATTTCTTTCAATTTCACTAATAGCTTTAAGCTCCTCCTGCCTCTCCTGGTTCCTGTAAGAGTCATTTAGCTTAAGTTCGATAGTTTCCACTTCCCTGGTCAGCGCCTCCTTTCGTGTATCAGATATTCTAGCACTCCTGAGGAGCTCAGTGACTCTTCGTCGTCTTCTGTAGAGGGAGCGTCTTTTTCTCTCCAGTTTACTCCTGCTCTTCTTCTTTCTTAGGGGAATATGCCTAGAACATGCTTCGGCTACCAGGAAGTTGATCCTTTCAAGGCACTGGTTTGGGTCCATGTCATTTAAGACATCTTCCCAACATGTTTCGTTTAGGACATGGTTTACCTGGTCCCAGTTGATGTTCTTGTTGTTGAAATTGTATTTTGTGAAGACACCTTCACCGGTACATGCATTCTGCTGTTCAGGACCCCTATGCATGTACGTCTGGACTTCGATTAGATTGTGATCGGAATTAGTTGTTTTTGATATTCTTATGTCTCTTATCAGGTCCTCATTATTTGTGAAGATAAGGTCAAGTGTGTTTTCTAGTCTTGTTGGCTCCACTATCTGCTGGCTTAAGGTGTGTTTTTCGCAGAGACTTAGTAGCTCATGTGTGTGTGAGACCTTTCATCTGCGCTACCTCCGGGGATTGTTTCAGCTATAACATTATTTGCTACATTTTTCCATTTTGTATGCCTTAGGTTGAAATCACAAGCAGTAAGATGTTTGGGGATGGAGCTGGAAGGTTTTCCAAGCAGTAATCGATTTTCAGTAGCTGTTCCTTGAACTGTTGGGAGGTTGTATCTGGTGGCTTGTATACAACCACAATGATTAGGTTTTGGTTCTCGATCTTTATTGATAGAACTTCAACTACCTCATTTGTGGTGTTCAGCAACTCCGTGCAGATAAGGGACTCTTTGACATACAGGCCAACCCCCCCTTGTTGCCTGTTTTTTCTGTCGCATCTAAAAAGGTTGTAACCACTTATCCATATTTCATTGTACTCTCACATCATGAAACCTCTGAATCCTGGAATCCTGCAATACTTTAATCTTGGAATCTTCTATCTCTGGAATCCCGGAAATCATGAATCCTGGAACTGTGGAATCCTGAGGATAAACAAAACAGGACTAAGACTGATTACATTACACCGGCTTCCAAATGGGTTATGACATGCTACTTGCAGTCATGCAGGGAGCGTGTAAGTCATGCACACGTGTCTATAGTTTTGATTCCAACCTCGGGGTCCCGGGTTTGACTCCCGGGCGAAGCGAGACATGGGCAAGTTACTCAGCACCTGCTGCCCCTGCACTCACCTATTTGTGATTGCAGGGGTCAATTCACAGTTCCTGTCCCCTTCGCTAGTCACTACTATGTCCACTATCTCCCTTATGTTTGGGGAGGGACGGAGAGAACGACACTGGATGATACAGTACAGTACGCATGAGACAACATATGAAAGACACATGACACAACACATGGCACTAACCCGCGTGCGTTTTCCGGCGTGCTGGACATTCGAGTCAATATCTGTGTGACGTGAGGGAGGTCGTGACCCCCGGGAAAGCCAGGGGAGAGAGAGCAAGGGAGAGAGAGAGAGAGAGAGAGAGAGAGGAAGGAATGGGATGGGATGAGGGAAGTGGATGGAAGAGGAGAGAGGGAATAAATCTCTTCTAGTATAACTGCTGCTGGAAGGGAGGTCGGAGGTGGGAGGGGATTAATGGAGGGTAGGCACATAGGTAGTGTTGTGGTGAGGGTGAGAAGGCTTTGGGTGGGGAGGGCGGTAGGGAGGGGGCTGGCCGTGGCTGGTGAGGGATGGTTAATAGTTGTTGGGGGGAGGACATTGGTTTGTAGATCGCGGGGAGGCAGGAGGGGTTAGTGAGGGGTAACGGAGAGGGAGGAACGGGGAATGGAGGGACAAGTTGAGGATGGGAGGAAGGGACGGAGTTGACGGGTGATGTTTCTGGAGCCACGATTGACGCTGTGTGTGTGGATTAACCTTATTTATCTAGCTGAGT